TCTTCTCACTTTTATTAATAATGATAGGGTGTCACAATATAAAGAACTAAAATCGCATAGAAGTCAAGGAATGTCAATATACATGTATATAAAAAAATATTTTTAATCTAGCTACACTGTGTAATTTTCCGATGAAGGGGTGTTGGTCGACACCCCTCAACTACATGTGGCTCCGCCACTATATATATATATATTATTTACCGATGAGCATAAATATTTTTCAAAAATCACATAACAATATAAATTTATTAAAACTCCACATAAAAAATCAATCACATCCAATATTTAAACCGTCCAACTTTTAAGATTCTTGATTAATACTAAATTAATTTTATTTTGGATTTAGGAGTTAAAATTTGATATTAATTTGTCAAATTTTAGTAGTTTTTATATAGATATTATATTATGCTTTGAGCCAAAAACAATTAAGTTAATTAAACTCATTATAAGTTTTGGATCATGGATCACACCCTTGGATCGATACGACTCGATTCGGTTTTGCCTGATCCGATCCAATTTAATTAATTAATTAATTAAATGAATAATCCTTTTTTTGAAGATAAGAGGGAACAGTTACAAGGTAACTGCTCATACTCTCCTTAAAAGTTTCTTAATGAGAGTGTCTTTGGAGATCGTGGAAAAAGACATAAACATGGGAATGTTAAAAATCATTGAAAAGAAAAACAGAGAAAACCAAAAGTCAATCTTTTGTCAATATTCAATCAATACAATCTTAAATATTTAGTTTGTGAATGAAAACGATTTTTGTTTCCTTGTAATTCAAAGAGAGATTTGGAGCAATTCATTCGGATAGTAAAACCAATAACAATTCTTTCTGCTACAAGTTATAAGGTACACATCTTGTTGTTGCTTTGCTATTAATATTCTTTCCCTCATAGATTACACACTTAATCCGCTCATATCATCAGTTCACATCATTGGTATATACAACTTAAATTCATTTCTCTAATCTAATAATACACAAAAATTATTTACAACATATACTTACGTTACATTAAAAGTAGCTAGCTGCCACAATAGGAAACAGAAAAAAATGAAGTTTCAATTCTTTTTCATCTGTACTTCCTCAAATTCAAACTCTGGCGCCCACGCCAATAGTTCCACCACCACCCCCACCACCCCAAGAGCTCATCCCTCCACCACCCCAACCCCGGATCCCCCAGTCACGACGAGCACTAGAATTCGTAACAACAGCCTTTTCGACATGAGGAGGAGCAGGAACAGGCACATTATTCCGACTGATATTTTCTTTTCGGCCACCAAAATACCAAACCAAAACTACAGCTGAAACAGAGCCACATACTATGAGTGCAATAACATATGCCTTCATCTTCTATTTTAATTTGTTTATTAATTGTCATATGCTTTTATAGCACCAGATTGCGTAATCAAAGCATGCAGTGCAACTTCAATTTTATATAAAAGCTTGTTGAACAAGTATTACCAGTACTATAAGATATATGAGTACATTAGAATTGAGAAATTTTATTTTAATTTATTTTCTTAGACCAAGACTTTATTTAAGTTGATCTTCATAATTGTGATATTGTTAATTGTAGTTGAGTGGAAGAAAAGAAATGTGACAATTTCTTTGAATATTTCTCTTTCAGTTCGTTCAATGGATCAGTTGATTTCATAAATTATTGTCGTTCAATTTTTAATTTATTTCATTCAAATATTTTTTACAATATATAAAAGTTAGGGGTGTACATGATCGTGTTGGTTCGGTTTTTTCAAATATCAAACCAAACCATTTGTGTAAAAAAAATTAATTTATAAACCAAACCAAACTAATAAAATTCGGATTTTTTCGGGTTTTTCAACCTCGGGTTGGTTCGGGTTTTTCAAATATAAAACCAAACCATTGTGTCAAATTTTTAAATTTATAAATCAAACCAAACTAATAAACCTCGGTTTTTTTTTTCCAGATTTTTGGATTTTTCGGTAAAGGTGCATACAAACATATAATTAACTTGTGCTCCAAATATTTCTTTAGTCCAACCAAACTACAATTATCTAAGGTGTTTCTTAAGAAAATAACACAAAATATGAGATGAGTACTAATGACACTAAAATATTCAATAAAAAATGATAATGAAATCATCATAAAATAAATATTGCAAAGTCATAATGAAAATGATCATAATTTAAAAGTACTAAATCATGCTAAAATAAGTTTAATAAGTATTAGTTACATTACTAAATATTTAAGGAAAATTAAAATTAGATTATGTATTTTAATTGTCTAAACCAATGTTGAATTGATTTTCTTTTTGCATTAGTATTAATTTGATTTTGATTTAAGTTTTATTATAATTATCAACATTTATGAACTATAATATTAATTGGACCATTCCGAATTCTAAGTTTTAAACTTGAAATAATATATTAAAAGATAAAAACTATGAAATAGTATAAGAAATACTTTAAAATTATATCAAAGAAAATATTTTTATGTATAAAATAAAATTTTAAAATTACATATATATAATGTCGGGTTGGTTTTTTTAGTTAAAACCAAACCAACCCAAATTTAGTCGGGTTTTTTTTCCAATACCAAACCAAGTCAAACCAAACCACTAGTCAGATTTTTTTTTTCGATTTAACTCAATTTACGATTTGGTTCGATTTTCAGTTTGGTTTTGTACCCCCTAATAAAAGTCATTCAACTTCGTTAAAATAATATCACAAAAAATCTTTAGCATATTCATCCATATCCAATCTTCATTAACATTGTGGTTCGCTATTATTATTATTTTTTGACCCTTGACTCAATAAAAATTAGAAGATTGAAGACTACCGAATAATTAATTAGACCTTGGGAAATTGGTGGAAATTCTCTACTGTAGACTTTTAGCTACCTTAAATCTTTTTAGGTCGTAAATGTATATATGTACTATATATATTTTTGGGCTAATCCATCACTGGCCCCTTAAACTTGGCATCAACTTTCACTTAGATACTTCAACTAAACTTTGTTCATTTTAGACATCTCATGTCGCGTCTCGTTGTGTCATTTTGACACTTTTTGTTGAGTAAGCATAGTACATGTGCTACACAAATTTTGAGCGCGTCAGACACATTTTTTGTAAATATTCTTAATTTTTTTGTAAATATTTTCTTCTCCTTCTTCTTCCTTGTTTTCTCCCTTCCATCTTCTCCACCTTCTACCATCCTCCATCACCACACAATTTTTTAAAAAAAATTCTACAATATTTTACTAGGTTACACTCTTTGATTCTTCCATCTTCTTTGAAAATCGAATTTACATCTTGATTCACATTCAAAAATAAAATCGATTTCAAGGGAACAAAAAAAGAAATCAACTTCTTTCAAATGGAAAAAATTATTTACATTCTTACTTTCTCCGTTGAAATTACGAAATTAAATTGATTTCAAGAGATAAAAAAGGAATAAAGAACAACCTCCGATGAAAAAAAAAGAAATTTATTTTACATATCCTTCATTGTAAATCCCAATCGTAGTAGCACAAGAAATCAAATGTCATAAAAAAACTTTTCGATTTGGTATGATTTCCCTTGCTCTCCCAACGTATTTTACTTTGTAAACTAACCTATGTTCTTGCCATTTTGATGGAGAAGAACAGATGAAGGGGAAGGAGGCGCAAGAAGAAGAAGAAAAGAGGTGGGGGCATGGGGTTTGGGATCTGGAAGAAAGAAAAAAGAAAGTAAAATTAAGTTTTTAAAAAATATAATAAAATTTCCACGTGTCACATACCAATTCATTTATTTTTCCACAAAAGAGGCGTCTAGATGTAAGCACTTAAAATGTGGTTTTGAAAATATAAAAAGTGTCAAAATGACATAACGAGATGTGACATGAAGTGCTTAAAATAAATAAAGCCTAGTTAAAGTGTTCAAGTGAAAGTTGATGCCAAGTTTAAGGGACCAGTGATGGATTAGCCCTATATTTTTTTTATTGCAGCAGGGAATTAAAAAGAGGAAAGACCAAGGCATTATCTCAAGTCATCACAATTTTGAGTTTGTAGTTGAGTGGAATACAAGAAATATGTGGCACTTCCTTTGAATCTTTCTCTTGGTTAATTCCATGCCATTACTTCCTACATGTATCACTTGATTTCATAGAGTCATAGTACCTTTCTAACTTGGACATCATCTTATATTTATGCCTTTTAACTTGGACCCCCTCAGCCTATGCCCGAAATCCCAGAGACACATTTAACAATTTACTAAGGTCCTATTACCCCCCGATCTTAATTTATCTATAATATTCTATCCCTTTTCGGCCTACGTGGCACTATCCTTGAAAAAAATGTCAACATGTGCTAGGCCCACCTGATAGTGCCACGTAGGCCAAAAAGGGGTGGAATATTACATATAAAATAAGTTCGGGGGGTAATATGGCATTAATAAAGGTTAGGTGTGTCTCTGAAATTTCGGGTATAGGCTGGGGGGTACTTATGCATTTTCCCTTAAATTTATATAAAATTTAAAAAAATTCAACACATCCTATATGACATCCGATATGACAATTTGTGTCTTATGTGGTGTCCAACGTGTATTATGTCATTCGGTGGTGTCCAAAGTATATGTGTATACTTGTTCAACTTTATACAAGTTTAAGTTCCTACTTGTGAACTATATCAAAGTCACTAAAAAGATTTTTCTTTTTTTAACATAAAAATTACTTAATTTCGCTCAATGCATCATAGGAAGTCTTTTATCATATTCATTCGAGATAATATTTCAGATGATCACTTAATTATGAAATTTTCACAGAAAGTCACTCAATTTTTATTCTTAACTCAAAAGTGATTTAATTATGAGCTCTTTTTACAAAGGGCACTCAATTATACTTTCCACAAAAAGTCATTCAACTTATTTAATTAATTTTTTCAATAAACAAAAAAAATTATAAAAATATCATTTTATTTAAACATAACATTCAAGTTATTTAAATATCAGAAATTGATTCTTGCTACCAATACTTTTTAGACCTTAACCTCCACATCCACCACCACCACATCCTCCGCCACCACATCCTCCGCCTCCACATCCACCGCCTCCACCACCACCTCCACATCCACCACCTCCGCCACCACATCCACCACCATCACCATCACCATCGCCATCGCCATTACCTCCGCTGCCACAGCCACCACTTGTTCCTCCTCCATTGTAAGCACTATCAATAACAGCCGCGGTGACAACTGTTGCAGCAGCAGCACCTAGAATAACCATTCCGCCATCTCTCATTGCTGAGTTATCCTTGGGTTTAATTTCGCCCTTTTCAACATCGCGATTCGCCTGTAAAGGCTTCGGCGGCGGAGGAATAGCCGGAGAACCACCTGTCATATTCCGAGTCACTGGGTGGCTCTTCTTTTTCTTTCGGCAAAAACAACACAAAATTGTATATGATTTCATCTTCAAAATTCAAATTAACTTGTTAATTGGTGCTGTGCTAAAAATCCTAATTTGTCATGCTTTTATAGCATCAAATTTTAGGCAACAAATTAGTCAGTGCAACTTGCAAAATTAAATTTCTATACAAGTTTACTCAGGATGAAGATTAGAATATTATTATACCAAATAATTAGAGCTTGGAAACTTGATGGAGAAATTTTCCTAGGGTAGACTTTGTGCTCCCTTATTAAATTTTTATAAATATTCTCTTATCACATCAGAAATATATAAAGAGGTAAGACTCAGGCACGTTCGTCACAATTTTTACTTTTGTAGTTGAGTGGAACAAAAGAAATGAGGTCGTTCGTTTGATTCTTTCTCTTGCTTAATTCCGTACTCTCCCCGTTCCATTTTATGTGACGCTCTTTTCATTTTAATTACTTTATTATAACTAAAAATAATTTTAATTTTAAATTTCTGTTTATCTAATGATGTTAATTTTAGACTACATATTTTTTTTAAAAATTATTGTATCAAATCAAATAATGTCATATAAAATGGAATGAAGGGAAACTTAACTAGAGCTACTGCCAAAACTTCTATAACCAATTGCTCCGTCGTCTCCTCACGGTCCCAAAAATAAATTTCTTCTCCGTCTCCTTCTTCGATTAGTGTGGACATAAAATAATATCAAAGTCGATTTTCTCCAATCGCATGGTACGAAAAATTATGAACAGACATATTATTATAAAACATGAATAGCCTCTGTACAAAACATACAAAGAAATAATTCACTCCTTTTTAATCTGAAGCGGATTTCATGAGTTCAAACTTTTAAGATTTTTGTAAAACTGCATCCACCTCTACTTTTAAACTCCGCATTCACCACCACCACCACCACAAATTTTTGTAGAACTGCTGCCACAGATCTACAGACTATTGCATCCGCTTTCATCTTCTAATTGTTAATTGGTGCTCTCCTAAAAATCCTTTGTCATGCTTTTATAGCATCAAATTGGGCGGCAACAAAGTGTTACAATTTTGCCTTGATTTTCTTACTTTACTTTACTTGAAATTTATTTTTTTCTGAAAGGAAAATCAAAGTATTATCATAAATACGTTAACTTTTCCTGAATAAAAAAATATAATTTTCTTTCATATTTAATTTATTCTTTTACCTAGAGGAACAGTTTGTAAAGCAGATTGCGTAACCAAAGCAGTACTGCAACTTCAATTTTCTATAAAAGCTTGTTGAACAACTTTGGCAAATTCATCCATGTTCTATCTTCAACATCGCCCGTTCGCTATTATTATTTTTGGCCCTTAACTCAATAAAGTTAGAAGATTGAAGACACTACCAAATAATTAGACCTTGGTAAATTGGACAGTAGAGTGTAGACTGTTGGCTACCTTAAATCTTTTAAGGTTAGTATATATTTTCTTAGAGTTCGCAGCAGAAAAATAAAAAGAGTCAAGATCAAGGCCTTATCTCAAGTCATCACAGTTTTGACTTTGTAGTTGAGTGGAACAAATAAAGGAAAAATTATGAGAAATGATAAATATTTATAGTGTATTATTTAATTTAGCTATAATTTTGGATATTTTATGATGTGTGGTTATAGTTTTGGATATTTATGATTTGTGGCTATAGTTTTTTAAATTTTGTTTTGAATTTGTATAATTCAATTCCTGTTTATATAAAATCAAAATTTGTATATGTAACAAACCAATTTTTACACAAACACAGAATGTATTTATAATCTCTGAACTCAAATTACAATTTAGAATTCGAATTTCAAACAACAAGGTAATAGCAATAGTAACTAAGGAGAATATACAAAGAAGAGGCAATCGGAAGGGGATGGGATATATCGGGTGGAAACCAAAAAGAATTGATAATGGAGATGAGAGATAACTCATAACCAAAATAATTTGCATAACCTCTTCTGTGTAGGGATGGCAAATGGTTGGATTTGGTTGGATTTAGATGGATTTAAAATGATTTGAACAAAAATGGGTAATTATTCAATCCGCGCATATTCTATATGGGTAAATATGATTCGGGTAATTAATGGACGGATTGGATATAAGTTTACCCATATTTCAAATGAATTTATATGTTTTAAGTTTTTAAAGTAACTTTTTATTCTACTCCCTCCACCCCTACCTCCAATTCACCCAACCCTAATTTTATTTTATTTTTTCTGACCCCCACCCCGCTTTCATCCCCCTCCACCCCCATACCCTCCCCTCTCCACCTCACCCCACATTCATCCTCCCTACCCCACCTGCACCATCCACCCCACTTTTTTATGTTTTTTTTTAAAAAAAAAATTCTACCCCAATCCATATTTTACCCATTTTGACCATATTTGTAGAGACTCTTAAAATAGCTTGAAGTCCATATTTACCCAATTAAAATATGAGTAATCCAAGTCATTAGATATGGGTAAAATGAACTCATTTCATTAATATGGGCTGAAATTGCCACCCCTATTTCTGTGTAACCCCAAGACCTATTTAACCAATTGATAATTGGTCCTAGATCCCAAATAAAACTCTCCAACATTTTAATCAACCCAATAATCTGAAATGGATCAGTCTCATTCACCCCCTTCCAGCCCTATAGGCCCTTACGTAGTCAGTTTGGTTCACAACTATATATACTGACTTAGTTTATATATATATTGACAAGCGAAATATACAAATGGAAATATCCATAGCAAAAGAAACTATAGCTATGGAGCGTAACTATGCAAATTGTAGCTTAGAATGCTAATTAAATTTTATCTCTTTACTATTTATGAAATTATCTCAAAAGGAAATGTGGCATTTCCTTTGAATCCTTGTCTTGCTTAATTCCATGGTTACTTAAGATTCTGATGTCTATTTATTTGTTTTCTTTAATTAGATACTTTTTTGAAGAAAAGTAATGCCTAACTCTTAAATCATCACTTAATTGCTTTTGGTTTGGGGTGGGATGGTGGGTTTTGCTTGAAATGGTGGATGCAGTTTTTTAGCTAGTAGTTTTTGCTTGTATTATGTATTCTTATTAGTGCTTTTTTTAATTTATGTGTATGATTTTGATTTGGCACGCAATTTAATAAAGTAGAGAATTTTTTTGATTTAGTGATTTTAGATTAAAGATTTGTAAAATGTATCAAAATATCCTTTAATCTTTTGGTTTAAGACTAAAGATTTGTAAAATACATCAAAATATCCTTTAATCTTATGGTTTCAGACTAAAGATTTGTAGAATGTACCAAAATATTCATTAATCTTATGGTCTTAAACATATCATGTGGAAAGTTAGAATTAATTGAGTTGTCAAGAGAGAAAAAGTAACATTTTTCTTTAAATTGATTAGAAAGGAAAGCAAGACAAACCAATGGGTACATAAAATTTACACATAATATATATATATAACATTTAAGCTCATGTGCGTCTGTTGTAATATACTTAAATAGATTTAATATTTTAGCATGCATCTCTATTGACCCATAGATATATAACTTTTAAGTTGACGACTCATTACATGTCCTTTTGATTGCATTTTTGTCTCCCTCGTCAATAAATTGATCTATATTATCAACTCTATATTCAATCACTGGATTTTTACTTCACACATGACATCAATCCTAATAAGTGTAATACTAAATCATCACATAGACTTGGGTTGAGAAAGTGCAGTGTGTTATAACCTACAAAAGAATGTCGGAATACACAAAATAAAATTTTAGGCATGAATCCACTACACAAGTATAAAATAAACTCAAATTTACAATATATATTAAAAAAAATATTTCTGAAAAAGGTTAATCCAACCTTTTAAAAGTGACTCATGGGACTGGAACATATACCATATTGTCTCTATTTTATATGTCAATAGCTTGTTTAGTGTTATAGAGTAAGTATATTTTCTATTTCTTTAGCTAGCGTAACTCTCAGATTAAAAACCCGGGTGAATGAACAATCGTTTCAAAATGGTTTCTTTTTCAGAAGAAATTGTAAATGTAAAATTCCGACAGATTTAACTGAAATTGATGATGATGAAATGACGGAGTATTTTCAGTCGCTAAATACATGCGAGCGAATCATCTTTTTCAATCATTTTACCTCTCTTTCATAGACTAAAAAAAAATACAGCATCAATGACATATATGGTGTGCTTTGTTGTCAAAAAGAAAAAAAAAATTGATCGTGATATGTTGTACTCCCTCCGTTTAAAAAAGAATGACCTCCTTTCTTTTTTAGTCTGTTTCAAAAAGAATGACCTTTTTTTTTGGGTAACATTTTAATCTCAGCTTTCCATGTGGCATGTTTAAGGCCACAAGATTAAAGGAAAATTTTGTATATTTGACATAACTTTAATTTAGGACCACAAGATTCAAAAATCTTTTTTATTTTCTTAAACTTCGTGTCAAGTCAAACTAGGTCATTCTTTGTGAAACGGAGGAAGTAGAAAAAAATAATTGTAATGAGCACAACTTATTGAGACTATGTTGTTATATATTCCTTCCCGTTCATTTTTACTTTAACATGCCTTTTCTATATTAAGTATTAAAAAAGATTTGGAGACTTAGTAATTATCATAGAGGGTAGACTTAGTAATTACCATAGAGGGTAAAATATAGAAAAGAGATAATTGTCTAATCTTAATATGTTCAAGTAAATTATTAAAAATAAAAAAATATTTTTAAAATAGTGGACAAATAAAATATGACATAGGAAGTGGTAGATTTTTGGGTCATTGTTGATTGTTCCTCGTATTAGTTTTTATTAGTTACTTTTAAATAAATAAGTAATTTTATATTTAAAAATAAATTTAATTTTAAATTTTAATTTATATGCCCAAACACTACAAATCAGTTAAGTGAACATTTCATCTGCTTTGATTCCAGTTTTTTATTATTGGTTACATTGAATTATTTTTATTTTTTCTTTTCTATTTTCCCTTTTTTGGGTGACTAATATGGAACGTAACGTGTTTTAATTTGTTCATAAGCACTTGATAAAAAAAAGTCATTATGGAGTATCATTTTCATTAAAAGAATAGCTAAAAGAAAGTTGTTGCCACAAAATTAGCCCAATTTATGTTAGGTCTTCAAAGTTTCTGTTAATCCAAATTGATCCGTAAGAAATCTTATCAAAATTAAATCAATAATTCAATAATTTTTTTTTATAAATCATTAAAAACATGTTAACTTAATAATGTAATAGCAATAAATCAATAACATTTTTTTTGTTCGATTCTCGTGCACCCTTAACAAAAAGATTGTCCCAATTCTTTTAGTAGTGCACATAATTAGTTTGAGATACATGTCCTTTATGCTTAATTTAGAAAAATCTTGCAATTCACATAATGTAAAAGAAGAAGGTGAAAATTACATATGATGAAAAAAATAATCTTGCAATTTACATAAATATGTATACATTGAATACACGAATATGCATACATTTTAATGCATACATATATACATATATATTGCACTTGATACCATAAATTAAATGTATATAACTACGAATTGAATGAATACTTAATACTTTTATGTATACATGATTGTTCATATATTTATGCAAAAACTAATCAATTTAGTGTATTCAAATTTTAAGCGTGAATATACATATCTAGTCAATTTTGAATATGTATACATTGTAATTGATAACATAAATTTAAATGTATACAACTACTAATCGAATGAATGATCAACACTTAACCTATACACAATCGACAATTATATAATTGGAAAAAATGGGATTCATTAGTTAACAAAATTGAAATCAATTGAATGAAATGAATATTTGTTATAATAACCACCCGTTCCATGGAATGATCCACAAAATTATTTTTACTATCCCATTGTCCTATGATGAATCAAAACAATCAAAGATGACATTGATATCTTGATGATCGCTATTGATCTGCATTACCCATTGTATTTTGAATACATTGTATTGATTTTCGATTGAGGAATTTTATGAACACCGAATCACCATTTTTTTTTAATACAAGAGTAAAAAATATAGATGAAAAGGTTTACCCACGTTGCCTTATTTATTGCCAGTTGATTACACGGTGAAAAAAATTCTATTAAATAGTAATATATTACTTTTACGCTAATATGTGTCAAATTTTTTGTTTATTAATTGCTAATTAGTGTTGGGCTATATGTTGCGATCCGTAGTAGATATATATGTCAATTCCGTCCGGGCCCAAATTCACAATAGTTGGGTTAGGCCCAGTTAAGAAGCGTCGAACACATCATAAACCCTAAAAACTCATTATCATTTATCATCAGTTTCTGTATAACAGAGTGTTCTTCTCCCTTAGGGTTTGTTCATCAGATCTTGAGAAAAAAATGGTATGCTCTTGCCATGGTTACATTTTCTCTTCAGTATTCATTTTTGGAATTTGTATTGACGTTTGTTCGTTTTTTTCTGTAGGCTCCAAAGAAGGGTGTTGCAGTAGCAGCAAAGAAGAAGCCGGAGAAGGCGAAAGTGGTGAATCCACTGTTCGAGAAGCGGCCAAAGCAGTTCGGTATCGGCGGGGCGCTGCCGCCGAAGAAGGATGTAACAAGGAATGTAAGATGGCCTCGGAATGTTACCCTCCAAAGGAAGAAGAGGATTCTGAAGATGCGATTGAAGGTCCCTCCTGCTCTTAACCAGTTCACCAAAACCCTTGACAAGAACCTCGGTCAGTATACTATTATTAACTTAATATCCTGTTGCCTTTTTGGTTAATTAGTTGCTCTAAATTTGTCGAACAATTAGACAATCAATACTCTATGTCCGATCCACTGTATTTGCAGCTAAATCTCTGGCCTCTATATAGTCATTACAGTCGATTTTGATTTAGTCCAGCTACTTCCTATAATGTGTTGTACTAGAAACTGTGTGTGTATCCATATACGTTTGAACTAATATGAACTATGCCTCACTGTGTAATTGATGGCAATTGAATGGGTGGTTGTTGTGCTTGGCTTGTGAATTCTTATGATTTCAATTTTGTTAATGTTTGCAAACACTCCGGCTTTTGCTGGTTAAGCAATATGAATAACATCTCTGGTCTCACTCATCTGAAACTGTTGCTGGCTTATATCATAGTTCCATTAACCATTTGGCTGACTGAGTTATTATTGTTCCTTTTAGAATTCATGAGGGAAGCTTCGTATTTTGGAGAACTAGAATTAGTTTAGCAATACGACTATTATGTTTTGATGAAACTATCATGTGGCTGCTGTGTATAACTTTTATGTCTTTTGACTCCTCTAGTAGACCAAATTTGGTTGTAATGTATAACAGCTCTAAACTTATCTTTTGTATTGTTTTACTTGCATGAGGTGTTTTGTTTCACTAATACGTATTCAAATTCTTTGCCCTTTGAACTTGCAGCTACAAACCTTTTCAAGATGCTTCTTAAGTACAGGCCTGAGGACAAAGCTGCAAAGAAGGAGCGTCTTGTCAAAAGGGCTCAAGCTGAAGCAGAAGGAAAAACTCCTGAAACAAAGAAACCTATTATTGTGAAGTATGGGCTTAAGCACATCACTTACCTTATTGAGCAGGTTTGTTTTGGTCTTGCAAATTGTCTTATACTTTGCCAAGCACATTTGTTTCCATCTTTCTAGTAACTTTTTCCAATTGATGTCGTTTTAGAACAAAGCTCAGTTGGTAGTGATTGCTCATGATGTGGACCCAATAGAGTTGGTTGTCTGGCTTCCTGCGCTATGCAGAAAGATGGAAATTCCTTACTGCATTGTGAAGGGCAAAGCTCGTTTAGGATCGGTAAGTAGTAGTACCTAGTTTGTATTCTCAATGCTTCTCAACAGATTAGGTACTGATATTGATGACTGTGCACAGATTGTGCATCAGAAAACTGCTTCAGCCTTGTGTTTGACAACCGTGAAGAATGAGGACAAAATGGAGTTCAGCAGAATTTTGGAGGCCATTAAGGTATAGCTCTATTCAAGGCTAGTTTGGTTTGCGTTTTGCTGTAGATCTTCTAGAATAGCTTTTGATACTTGTTAACTTTTTCAGGCTAACTTCAATGACAAGTATGAAGAGAACAGGAAGAAGTGGGGTGGTGGTATCATGGGCTCTAAGTCACAGGCCAGAACCAAGGCCAAGGAGAGAGTTCTTGCCAAGGAAGCTGCCCAGAGATTGAACTAGGAGCTTGCTGTGATAATATACACTGCAATTTGATTAGTGAGATTCTCTGCCAAGTTTTGTATTTGGTTCAACATGCTTCACAATGTTAAAGATATTAGTTTGACACAAGTACCTTTATGTTTGCCTTGGTAATGCTTTATCAGACATTTTTGTTAGATATTTTGTTGAGTTGATTTTTTATGGCACCGAATTCCGCAGTTATTCAGATTATTACTACACTAAACTACAAGTTCTATCTTGAATCTTGTTTATGAATCTCTTCCTGCTACCCTGGATATCAATTGTTCTGCTCTATTATTCATCTCTGGCTCTACGATGCAGCACTGTGCATGTATCAACTTTGTTGATATGATTCATAGGATCCACTGTTTGATGTACTCATCTTAGTTTTATTAGATGTGTTTTGACAATGTGCTAGTCTGTTCCATCACATGTCTGGGAAATGGACACTGAAAAAATAAATTATTGGTACTATCTTGACTTCCTAAGTAACATTAATGTCTTATCACACCAAAATGTTGGAGAAGTAATATATTTGTATTATGAACATTTTCTTATTGGTTAAATCGAAAATCAAAATGTTAAAGGACCAAATCTGATAAATTGAAAATTGATAAAAAAAATATCTTACTAGGTTGGTTATTGGTTCAAAGTAATTAAAGATTGAAAATCTATGAATCGAATTAATAATACCTAAAAACGTTTTTGTTGGTAAAATATTTGTACATATTAATAAGTGAAATCTCTTAACACAATACACTAAGCTAGTGAATTCCGTGGAATCCAAAAAACGCCGCAATATATATACTCAATACAGTGCTAGCTCAGTTTTATTTATCGAAAGCATTGCATAATAATAATAATTGGTTAAAGCTGCTTAGAGTACAATAAATATGATTATTAGTGTACAAGATAGAAGCTTAATTATTGGTTTTGCCTAAAATAAATATTTATCCTATGATACAAGAGTATACGAATTTATTTACCAACAAATCTAAAATCACTGATTCTTAATTTTCTAACGAATTGAAGGTTTTTGTATTATTCAGACCATTCGTTCATTCTACAATTTTTTTAGTAGTGACTTTTCATACATAATCACCAACTAATAGAAAATACTATTAATTTGCTAATCGAGACTAGAAACCAAGAAGCAATTCTACCGAAAATATGTGAACTCTTTTACTAACTAGTAGCACCGATAATGACTAACAAATCTCTTTCGGCTTGAAGAGCATCATCAAAATTAACGGTTCTTTTGATGCTTTCAATGGCCATCCGTGCTTTTTTTCTATCTCTTTCCCACTTCGAGTTGGATTTCTTTTCTTGCACTTGCTTCTCCCATGATTCCGCCTTCTTCTTCATCTCTTTCTCGTCAAACGCTTCGCCAAGAACTTGTTGCTGGGACTTGAAGATGACATTGGCGTAGCGTTTTTTCAACAGCGCGGCCCGAAGAACCTTATTGTCTTTCTCCAACGTGTTCACATCAATGGTGAGATCATTATTATCATACTTCCTCTTCTTCGTGTCGTATACCGTCATATTCTTAGAACATTAATTGAACTTTAATTATTGAAAAGTAGTACTTAATAAAGAAACTAATAATAAGATCTCATTATTATATACTAAAATTAACCTAAGTTTCTCCTATTTTATATGGGAATAGGTGTGTGTAAGTTTCCAAAAATAACTTTGAAATATTAATCTTTGCCAAAAATTGAATGAGAATAGGAATTTACTATATATGGAAGTTCTTGAGCTACAAAAAATAAATTACTCCGTTATTGAACTAAAATATGGAAACTTTTGCGACTTAACTTATACATCAAGTATCAAAATTATTTAACCGGATTTTATTTTTATTTTATGTTAAATTGTAATTAAGTTAATTCAAAGTATAAATGAAGTAGTTTTTCTTTATATAAATTTGTTATAAACTCTAATTTGTAGTTTAATATTACGTGCACTGCTTAATTAAGTGTATTATTGAATTTCACTCTCTTTTATTTTTGAGTATGTATACTGATTTTTGAGTCTTGATTACCATTAACAAAAAAAATTATTCTAAATTATAATTTTAAAGTTATTTAAAATATAAGTAGAGAATCTTCTAGGAACGAATTTGTCATAAACGTACATTTTTTTAGTTTTCCTTTTGAGTTCTAATTTCTATATATCAATAAAGAAGTCACAAATACGAACATTTTATTTTTATTCTTCTATTTCTTCAATAGTGTTATTAATTTGGAAAATGTTCTGAAATATATCCGAACTTTGATCGAAATTGTTGTAACAATATCGAATTTTGGAAAGGACCTTTTACCCCCTGCACTATTTAATAGTGTATTTTAAAGGTATATATATATGCCCACGTGGACATCATAAATATTGCATCATTATAAATAATAATGTATCCACGTGGGAACATATATACCTTTAAAATACACTACTAAATAGTGCAGGGGTAAAAAATCCTCCATAAAGTTTAGTATCGTAACAACAATTTCAACCAAAATTGGAGTATTTTTCAAATCCGTTTCCCTTATTAATTTGTTAGTTGCTAACTTTCGCTTTTTTACTTCATAAATAATTTTTGATTTATTTTATAGGTAAGTCCATATATATATATATCATATACTTTTAATTAATCCCACAGTTGTTCTTGTTATGTTTTTTCTTATCATATACATCAAATTTCTTTCCGTTGGAGAGATTAATAAAGTAGTAATAATAAATAACACATCTTAATATGGTTATTTTTTAATTTATCTTTAAAATGTATAAATTATATGATAAACTAAGTCGATAAATTAGACATGCTCTCATTATTAAGTTGGTATGCATATAGATGTTAGAGGTGACGGAGCTAGAATATTAAATTTATGAAGTGTACATTGATTTGCCTCAAATAGATCTTTATCATATGATATGATACAAGAGTAGTAGACAAGTTTATTTAATTACCAACAAAACCTACAAATACAGATTCTTAATTTTTGAAGGAAGATTTTCCTATTACTCACACCATTCTACAAATTCTATGTACGTAAATCGCCTTCCTTGGATCCAAACTTAAACAAGAACAAGGTCCTTAAAGCCAAAAAGAAAGCAAAAATATCGAAAAAGAGGGGCTAAACACAAGCTTCTATACAATATATATGAAATTTCTTCATCACAAAGATCGTCCCGTCCCTCCTTTAGTACTGCACATAATTAGTTCCAGATACATGTCCTTTATGGTTGATTGAAAAAAACCTGCAATTTACATGTGTGGAAAAAAATTACACAAAGGCGCGGAAATTGATTCCTTAATGCATGCAGCCTAAGAAAAAGAGTCATTTGCTCTTGAGAATACGTGCATTGGTGTGAATTCTGCTCATAGTGTTTTTAACTTCATATTTTGGATGATGAATGATTTGAACATCAAGATCATACGTCAAAACTGTGAAGATATAACACTTGGGCCTAACTCAACACCAAAAGCTAGCTCATGAGGGGAGGTTTGTGCCAAATGAGTGATTTGAAACAGAGAGTGTTAAGAAATTAGAACGCACAGGACAATCGACAAGAAGGGAAGATTACGTTGTGGGAAGGCAAATTTAGGCTGTCAACATTTTGATGTTGATGTCAATAAGATGAAAGACAAAGCTATGAAAACAGAGTTATGGTGTCTGTCTAGTTAATGTTGGATGCAAACCTCTAGAATAAGTCCAATGGATGAGCAAGTACTCCGTCATCATTCCAGTCGATTTCCTTGTTGCCTGATTCCTTTCCAATTAACTGAAGCGGTGCGTCTAGTGGTGGTGGAGTCTGTAGCCAAGCAACATATATGCAACAAATGACATTGTTAGGAAACAGAAAGTTCTGATCATGTGTAATGGCTTGGTGAAAAGCTCGAATTCAACTGAAATTTACAATCTTTTGGAAGCAGGTAAGAAGAATTTAATACCATGCACCGAATTAGAGGCCAAGCTATTCCACGGAAGAAAGGATGCTCTTTGATCTCACTTGCACCACCATTTGATCCTAAACGGCTGGCAGGATCTCTATTTAGCAATGAATGGATCACCTGTCTAGCTGCAAGGCTTACCTGCAACACGTAGATACATAGATGATTTCATTTGTTTCAGACTAGAAACAAGATTAGAGTTTCCTTTAATTCCCCCCGCAATAAAAAACAATTCACTTAATATGGACTTGTTTAGCTCATAAAAAGTAGAGAAAGAGATAAGACCGTCTTAATAATATCAAAACAAAATGACTATACCGGAATGCTACTAGGGAAAGTGAGGTCCTTGTTTAGGATGTTGGAAAATGTCTTCTGCCTGTTCTTTCCTCTAAATGGTGTACGCCCATAGAGCATCTCATAAAGCAAGATTCCTGCATTCCAAACAGAAGAGTTTATAGAAGTGCATGAAGCAAAATAATATAATGCATATTATAATAGTATCACAATAATACGAGTGCACTAATTAACATAATGCACTGAACTAAAAGTCATGAATTTGTTGCATGCACACCTAAAGCCCACCAATCGATCGCACTACTGTGGCCAGCTCCTGTGATGATTTCCTGAGATCAAGTCATTTAGAATTACATCAAACAATTAATTTTCTCTCGATGATAGATGATATTTTATTTCACAAAAGCAAACAAAGAAACTATTCAGTGTCAACATATCATGAAGGGAAATATATTCAAGAATTAGGAACAATGAAGCAATTCTATAGTATAGTAAATTTCTGAGCAGTTTCATTAGTAGAATTTGTGATTCGTAGGTTTCATTAATAGGATTTGAAACAGTGGCGGATGTATGTTATGGATTATGGGTGCTTAAGCACCCATTGCTTTTTGCAATAAACACTAATATTTGTTTGTAATATCTAATAATTCATTCAAATTTATTAACTAAGCACCCACTTTATATAGCAATTCTCAAATTAAAAATAATTGAGCACCCATGGAATAAAATTTCTGAATCCGCCACTGATTTGAAATTGGTATATGTGATTTAAACAGAAAAGATAACTGCTGGTACATAATTCTTCATCAAGTTGTGTTTATCTTTCCAAAAGACGCAATCCATATTGTTTTACTCCAGACATGGAACAACAGAATGCATTTTAATTTGTAACAAGGATGGAGTATATATCGCACAAAAGTCAACTTCTGCAATAGTTACATACCGGCGCTATGTATTCTTCAGTACCGACAAATG